TGTGTATTCCAACTTGATTTGTTTATTATATTTATTTTATTTTATTTCAATGATTATCACATCTTCAATGTGTCAAAAGGAAAATGGCTGCCACTACAGCAATATACAGCAATGGCGGTTCGTACTTAATGTGAGTTAAGTACGTACACAGAAAAACAAAGTTTTTAAATTTAATAAGAATGTTATTCATTTTTTTTAAATATATTTATTAAAATAAATAATATTAAGAATAAATAAATGCTTCAATAACATTGAAAATTCATTTAGTATTCGATTTTCTACCGAAGCAAATTCAATTTCATTTGGTTGATCGAAGTTACCAAATGTGTCAATGCATTTCAGGAGTAATGAGATTTGTTCATTGAGATTCAAAAGGGAATACGTTTGAAGTTTATCATTAGATTTCTACCGAAAAATTAAATGAATTTATTTTTTTCATGTGTATTTTTTACAATTTATTAGTCCAATGAATATATCATATTTTGAATTTATAAAATGTGGAAATTTAACAATTTATTAACACGGTCTTCCTAGCGTTCTCCAAATACTGTATTTAACGAAATTTAACCAGATTTAGAGATTACGAGAGATTACTTAAAATTCATGTGAGTTCGTAGTAATGACACTAGGTACACGTAGTCATGACACTAGGTACACGTAGTTACTCACAGTTCATGGCTTATATTTCAGGTCGCAAGGATATCGTTAAGCTTTTGATCAAGAATGGAGCCAAATCTAATATTGGAAATGAGTTGAATCGGACGCCTCTTCATTTAGCAGCTATGAATGGTAATTTCGAATATTTGTTAAGAAATTGGTTTGATTTTCATACATCGATCGGTGTTTTTTTTTAGGTCACAAGGATGTTGCTGAAGAGCTCATCAAGGGTAGAGCAGACGTTAATTTTAAAGATAATTCGAATCGGACACCACTTAGTTATGCTGCTGAAAATGGTAATGCTGAATATTTATTTTGAATAAAACAATGATTTGATCTTATCCATTGATCTATATTATTTTTCAGGCCACAAAGAGATGATTGAATATATCCAGGGAAAGGGTGGACAAATGTGAATTAGCTGAATTATCGAATGATTTCATTCGATGCCCGTATTCGATTGTCTTGTAGAACATTGATTTCGATACATTTTTTTCAATCTTTAACCATACCGATATATTTTTGCTTTGTTCGATCATCATTTGTCTTCTAAATTGCTAAAGTTATAGGCATTGGTATTATTATTTCTTTCACCATAATTTGGTACACTCTATACGAAGCACAGAAAAGTAATTAAATGTCACAAATGAGCAATGATCGAAAACAAATAGGAGTTTTTACTGGAATACAAAAAAGTGTCTATCATTGATTTCACATTCATGTTTACATTCATGCAAAACATTCTTATCACAAACCTTAATCAACGATTGCCGTGATACTATATAATTATGCGATAAAATGGCCACCACAATATTTATCTTCTTCGGCGAAAGTTGGTGCGATCGAACAAATTCAGTTCGATTTTGTGTGATTTATTAATATATTTTCAATTCATTACGCAATGTGAGGTAAATACACACGCTTTCTCTGACAATCATAAAATGTGCACACATTCAGGCAGTTCGAATGATTTTTGTATACGCAAGAAATACATTGTTAACATAGCACATACGGCTCCATTGGTTTAGTCATTCAAAGTCAATAACGGCATATAAACGACGATCCATCTCTGGTCTATTTTTTATCCTTAAAATGGCTCTCACAGAGTTTAGTTATTACAAAACAGGTCACCAGAATTTAGAGCTGAAACGAAATGTGTTCAGTGCATACCGCGAAGATGTAAATATTTCCATATTCAAATAGCTACATCACATAGTAACACCACTCAGTAATACAAGGGAGAAAAAAATTTACTTGAATTTGCAATTCAATGTCATCCAATTGCGTTGGTTTTCAAACCATAATCTAAACGTCTGGTATTGTCGACGCAATCCAGCAATCCATTTAATGTGAAACGTATAATTATGCACAAGCCCACCAAATGTCGTCAATGGTTTGACATTTTTCTCTTGAAAAATGTGTGCGATTATATTTTATGCATTTCATATGCAGATAAAGACATTATCAAATATACTTGAATATATTCTAAATCGAAATTTCGCAATACAATGAGCGCTCAGAAATTAAAACATTTAGAAATTTAAAGAAACAAAGACAAATGAATTAACAAAGTGTTCAATTTCGGAGGGCCCACTGTAATACAATTCATTTCAGCGCATAATAATGAACATACATCGAAATTGATTACATATCTAAAAGTGGGCTAAGCATTTAATGCTAAGTATTATCATTACGAGATTCGCCTATGTTTTTTTGGTGCCTAAATTTATATTGTAGTACCTAAGATCTATAATCATATTCACATTTACCGTACGCAAACAACGAACTATCTGGATATTTTTTAACTTTGAAACGATCTTGAAACGGAATGTGTTTTGTGCATACCGTGAAGAAACATTCGCATATTCAAACAGGTAAGACAAATACTCAACACTCCCAGAGAGAAATTTTATTTGCTTAAATTTGCAATTCTATGTCATCCAATTGCGTTTTTTTGATGAAAATAATGAAAGTGATGAAGGAATTAACGTAAACCTCTGGTATTTTCGATGCGATCCATTTAACGTGAAACGCAAAATTATGCACCAGCCCACCAATTGACGTCAATGTTTTGATATTGTTATTTTGAAAAATGTGTGCGATAATATTTTGTGAGCTTTAACCCTTTATCACATATCGGTTCCTAAAGTAACCAGATACGCCAGACGCTATAGCTATGAAACCACTGAATATTTTTGCATTCTTGTTTGGAAACAAATGTAGGGAATTGAACTAGCTTTCATTTGATACTTTACAGGCTACAATCGGCTGGCTGAATGGAAAGTTTTTTCTGTTCATGTACTGCTGTAAAAAAATACGAAATTATAGCAGAATTCCACATTTTTCCTCCTCTTATCTTGTGGGTTTGTTCATTCTTTTCAATTGTCAAATTAGGACTCGTAGGACCAAAACACATCAATTTAACTTTCTGCATCATTAGTTTTATGAAATTTAATTTTTTCAAGCTTTTATAGTGATTTGACACTTTTGACTCTTTTCCGATTTTCTCGATAAATACGCAATTTTGCAAAAATCTAAGTATGAGGTCTTTCTCTATTTATCATGGCACAAAACATATATCAAAATGATTCAAAAACAAAAAAATTGTGCATCAAAAATTGCGAATAACTTTATACTGGTTCGGTGTATCAAAATCAACTTACCAAATTTTTCGTGCACTCAACTTGCAATGAGAAAACACCAAAAAACTGGGGAAAAAAATTTTGAACGAAAAAAAACACCACATCTGCACTTATCGACCAATATTTCTATTCCATGTGAATAAAAATATCCCATAGTAATCTCTGAATTCAGGAATTCCTTCCCACAAGGAAGTTTGCTGCTAACTTACAAGTCACTGTAACTTGACAGTGAAGTGTCATAGTCACAGTGAGCATACGAACGAGTATAACGCACACATACACGCACGCTCAATAGCTTGCTGCATGTACGTGTACGTGTATGTTTGTATGCGTTATATCCGTTCGCATACTCACTGTTACTATGACACTTCACTGTCAAGTTATAGTTACTGCTAAGTAAACAGTGAATTTTATTGTGGGAATGTACATATAAAATATTATATTATAGTGGATCAATTACTCGAAAGAAATTAAAGTGAAAATCGTCATTTTTGTAATTTTTGATTGATTTTGAAGCAATATTTGCCACTGACCCAGCCAAAATGAATCGTTCGTTTCGATCGTATTTCTTTGTGCAAAACAATATCAAAGTGAAGTAAATCAATTCAGTGATACTCAACAGTAAAATGTCCGTGAATAAGCTCAAAAGTCCTGCGCAGCTTGCAATAAAACCTTTGGATATATATACATGGGATTCGTACTTGATTCATTGATAATTTTAATTGAATAACAATAAAATCAATGGTGAAAAAGATATTTGTTCTGACTCTAGAGAAGTTCAACTCAAGCAAAATCCCTTCGTTCCATCCAAGCCACATTGGTTATTCTGATCGTATTTCGTTGTCTTAATGTACAAAAGAGTCGTAGAGTGAAAAAGTAAATCAATTCAACGATGCTCAACACAGAAATGCCCATGAACAATCCCAACAATCCGCCACAGCTAGCAATAAAATCGGCCATCGTATAGGTTTCGGTCCGATTGATTACAATGAAATGCGGTTGCTTAAACGACACCATCAACTTACTGTTCACAAAGCTAATTGAATAACAGAATTGAAATTGTAGAAATTCATTTGAAAACATTAAATTCTCTTAGATGAAACATTTGAATTTTTGATGAACTTCCTTGTTAAAAAGAAAGCACACTTGCTATGAAGGAGTTGTGTTGTGCAATCAATCATACCTCAATTTGTCGTCCGGGTCGCTTGTTTTAGTATTCTCTCTCGTTGGTGAGGTGGAATTTGTGAAACATCCGCATTATAGGTGATTGATGTACAATCTGGGAGGCAGTCACACATTGCATTAGTAATATTCCTTGCGAAAATGTATCGAGCATGGCTATAGCATTTTATTGTTGCACAAGTGTTTGTACGGTTGTCTTCTGAAACAAAATCGTTGATCCTTTAAAGAGAAATCAGTTTTATTTTTCCACACGCCCATGGATGGTGTGAGAAAGTAGTTTTCTTTCGAATGAAGTTATTCGAAGTTCGAATATGATCGAAATGAAAATGATTTTTCTACTGCTGAACAAAAATGAACAAAAACTCACTCGGCATCCAGAACTGAACACATCCACATTCGCTTTTTGTGTAATTGGTCAAGCATTCCAGTTCACAATTAAGTTGGCTGTATGATTTGAAAAATCGCAGCTTACGTTCGGCTCTGAAGAAACAACCTCTTTCTCTTGGCGAATAGCTCCGCAGTCCGTTCGATGTCGAGATCAGATTTGGTTTAATGGAAAAGAATGCAACTTGGTTGAATGGAATATGAATGAAATCGCTGGATCGTGGAAATCGATCGGGTGAATGCAGAGCAATGCGAAATCCTTGTGCATCTTCCGCACAAAATTCGTAAAAATCATCGGAATAACTGTCCAAATTAATTCCAATCATACCATCAAAACCGACGCCAAATATACGATATGGATATAATTGACTGTCGTTAACATTTGGATTGTAGCCATCTTCCACATTCCAGTGAGTTGCATTCGGATTACGTTGTACCGTCAATAAGTCTGGCACAACTCTACAGAGACAATTAAAAAGAAAATAAACATGATGACTGACATCATGAATGACCGGAATGAAAAGAACTCGCTTGAACTAAAGTCACTAGTGTGCCTCGTTGTCTTTATCGAATAGAGACAATTTTGCAACAGTTGTTTGTGTGAAACATCATTAGTTCGAAGAAAAAATATAAATATCATACTCATCTGTGTAAATGTCCCTTGAATTAAGCGAATTGAATGTGTAGCAAAGACCTTCAACGGTGAAAATTGGCTCAAATACGGGATGCACGTCACCGGGAAAATATATACTCGGCGGAAAATTTGGCGCCATATCTTTGATGGTTTTGTAAATGGATTCCGTTCGTGGAATGACGGAGATATGCTCGTAATAGCTATTCATCCAATGCAAACAGATATGCCTCAATGCATCTACTTGATTTAATCTATTTATTAGCGCAAATTTGAATAAAATAGTTTATTTTAGGTTGCAACATTGAATTCAAGAAAGTTCAATCGATTTATCTAGATTTTCATAATTCCGAATTCATTGCTTACTCATGAGCTGAAAGTCTCATTAGTCTCTGTTTTTCATCCCAATTCACTGTTTTTAATTCATCCATAATTCGCACAATATCCACTTTAGTTTTGGTTCCCTTTTCCGTTGAGCAAACTGTTATCGCTGCAAACGGGATCATTCCGATTGACGTGGTCTTGTCATCAAAGCTTACGATCACGGGTCGTCCTTCCCATTTTGTCCAAATATTTAGAATAGCATAAGTGCATAGAAGAGCCGACAGTATAAATGCGATCAGCCAAAATGTTCTATGGGAAATTTAATTTTTTTATTGAGAAAACGACGTCAGACAGATGCAAGATTGAATTTAGTAAAATAAAAATGACTCTAACCAGACGGTTGCTGCAACAGCTATATATTCCAGGCAATTCTTGTGGCATCGATTGTAATCTGTTGCAAAATACATTGTAACATATAGGATATTACTATCGGTGCCACGAGGTGTCGCTAGTGGTATATGCTCTTGCAGCAATGGCGTTACTCTAACGGTGTCATATTTATATTCAAAATTGAAAGAATTGTGGAGCAGAAAGTCAAACATTCATCCATTGATGAAACAGAAACGAAGAAAAACAACAACAATGTGTATGGCTGTCTCAATCACCACCACATGATGTTTTCGAAAAGCAATACCAATTGAGTGCAGCATATTTTACTTTGATTAATTGATTTATAATGCTGAACGCTATAAGAAGAATAAATATCATGGCAAAACAACGAACAAAACAAGTCAAAATGCTAACAAGCAAACTAAAGAAGACAGAGGAACATTATATACCCACAGCAATAGGTATTGCGTTGTTTTTGCACCTTCTTTTTTCTCATTTTATTCTTTCATGTTTTGTTTTGACTTTGGAATCAGTGATTAAAATAAGCGGTAGTTCTACCGGAAACCGGTAGTTCTTAAATGAAAAATGCAGCTCTAAATTTGAAATGCGGTAGTTGCTATTTTGATGATTTTTGAACGTTTTCACACATTTGACACTAGATATAATCGATTTTCAGAAGTGAGGACCTTTTTTTTTTTTTAGTCCTCACTTCTTTCGGAGACTGGTTTTACACTAGACAGAATCGATTTCCAAAAGTGAGGTCCTTTTTTGTTTTTAGGTCATTGATTTTTTCAGCTCGAACGGTAGTTCTTAAAAATTCTTATTTTAATCTCTGTTTGGAATTGTATTTTATCCTAGGGGGATTTAACTACGTGAAAACTTGTAAAAAAATGATAAAAACGCGCACGAAATTGTTACATTCACCAGAAAACTTGCATGATTCCACTCAAATGACAAGTTCCGTATTAAAACAACATGCGCGAACTTGTGCGAGTTCGTGTGCAAACATGAAGCTGGACGACGCGCACACATCAGTCGTTCCATTTATATCTGGATTAACTTTTTCTTCCAACACTTTCTCCAGCTCTTTAAAAATATTTCCTTTGTCCATTTTATAATTATATAAATCTTTGAACTTTTGGAAAGGATGTGAAAAATCTTTATACACGTAAACAGCCGATTTTTAGTTTGAAACGCGTTTAAGTTGTCAAATAACAACTTGAAAAACGCGCAAAACCATAAACAAACTTGTGTAAACTTGTGACCGTGCGCGTCAGTACGTACAACGAACGCGTCGAACTTCTGCGAATCAAGCAAACTGGCAGAAAACATGCTGAACTCGTAAGAGTTAAATTCCCCTAGATTTTATCTATTAGAATGTCGTGTCGATACACATGGATCAATGCCATGACAAACAGTTAAAAACAAGACAAAAGTCTTGTATTCAAATAATTTGATATACCAGACTGATACCTTTCAATCCAATGGCGCTTCTTTTCCGCAAAATATCGCACTCCATGAATCGTCGTGCCCGCACAAAATTCATTTGCCATCGTAAGGACTATCTGGTTTTTCGAAATATAAAGATTAAATTATTAAAATTCGTATAGAAACTGTGGGAATATATTGAGAAAAAAAACAATCGCAACTTGAAATGAGTATAATCTAAATGGTAGTTACATGGATTTTAGTTTCACATTTCCTCTCATGTGGTCGACTGTCATCCAACATTTCTTTTATGTTTGCTGAAGTGGTGGCCAAATTATGCAATTCATTCTTTATCCTTGAAATGAGTATCATGTTTAAATTCAATTCAAAAATATTCGATTTCGAACTATTATGGCATCAAAGCATTGAAAGAAAACTCTCTGGTAAAATTTGTCTTACATTTGTGTTGATACCGTTTTTCCTGGCTGCGGTAGTGGCATTTCTCTTTTCATGTCCAACATCATCTCTACTTTGCACTTGTGAAAATAACTGAAAACTTCATCAAACTGTGCCGTTATAAGTATGCAAAAGCTTTTCATTTTCACGCTAATCGAATTAAATGAAGTGCATTGTGTCATTACATTAAGCTTCGAAACGATAATTATCATTTCCAGATAATGATGATTCATAATTTGATTATGAAGTTAAGTGTTGAGCTCTATCTAAAATGAATTGTACACTACAAACGAACAAAATAAACTGAACATTGTCATTTTTGTAATTGTTGGTTGACTTTGAGACAATGGTTGCATCTGGTGCAATTTGAATCATTCACTTCGATTGTATTCCTTCGTCTCATTGTGCAAAACAGTCGCAAGGTGAAATGATAAATCAATTCCACGATGCTCAACACAGAAATGCCCATGAACAATCCCAACAATCCGCCACAGCTCGCAATAAAATCGACCATCGTATAGGTTTCGGTCCGATTGATTGCAATGAAATGCGGCTGTTTGAATGACACCATCAACCTACTGGTCACAAAGCTAATTGAATAAGACGAGGAAAACAAGGAAATGATTCGTTAATGCAATTTTTAGATGAATCTATGATTAAAAAAAAAAGAAGCACAAATGTTATGCATGACTGAAGCGTACCTCATTGTTTTGTTAATTTCTGGAATAAAATAGGGTGGTATTTGTGATATTTCCACATCATAGGTAATTGACGTGCAATCTGGAAGGCAATTGCACTTTTCAATAATAAGTTTCTCTGCAAAGCTGTATCGAGCTTCGAGATAGCACGGAACTCCTGCACAAATTTTCATATTGTTGTCTCCTGAAAGTGGCAAAAATCAATGTGGAAAATATTGTTGTTTGTCGCTTATTTCTTGAAAAGTGCATATATGTGCTTTGGTCATCGTCACTGTATGACTTGATTTTATAATTCCATATGAATTTTACGTGTATAATTGCAATAAATAATAATGCAATACTCACTCGGCATCCAGAATTGAACACAGTCGCATTCGTTTTTTGTGTAATTGGTCAAGCATTCCAGTTCACAATTAAGTTGGCTGTACGATTTGAAAAATCGCAGCTTACGTTCGGCTCTGAAGAAACAACCTCTTTTTATCGGTGAATAATTCCGAAGTCCGTTTGATGTGGTGATCACGTTTGGTTTAACGTAAATATATGTCTCAGTTTTTATCGGAATTTGAATGAAATCGTTTGGCAGTCGCGGAAAACGATCGGGTGGATGCAGAGCAATACGAAATCCTTGTGCAGATACTCCACAAAATTTGTAAAAATTATCAACAAAAGTGCCCACTCTGATATTCATCGTATCATCTAAATCGACGCCAAACACGCGATACGGATATAATTCACTGTTATTAACACTCGAATCGTAGCCATCCTCCACGTTCCAGTGAATTGCATTTGGATTATTTTGCACGGTGAATAGGTCTGGCACAATTCTAAACACAATAATTGTGCATGACATCATTTGGTATGAGTGTAATTTGAAGATATCTAATCTAACTGTCATACTCATCTGTGTAAATGTCCCTTGAATTAAGCGAATTGAATGTGTAGCAAAGGCCTTCAACAGTGAAAATGGGTTCCAATACAAAGCTCATGTAAAGGGAATACCCTTCCGGACGCTTATTTGGTGCCATATCTTTAATCGTTTTGTAAATGGATTGAGTGGTCGGGATAGGTGTAACATGGTCGAAATAAGTCAACCCCCAGGACAAACAAATATGTTGCAATGCGTCTATTTGATTTAATCTAAAAACGAAGATTTACTTTTAAGTTCAGAATCAAGAGTTTCAAATATTCAACATGCTCAACTCATGGGCTGTTAGATTCGAGAATCGCTTCTTTCCATCCAATTCCACTGCCAGCAATGCAGCCACCAATCGAATGATGTTGACTTTATTTCTAGTGGATTTGTCAGTAGCACAAACGGTAACTGCGGGGAATGGAATTGTGGAAACTGGAGTTGTCTTGTCATCAAAGCTTACGATCACGGGTCGTCTTTCCCATTTTTTCCAAATGTCCCGAATTGCATAGGTGCACAAAAATACCGATAAGGTAAATGCGATCATCCAAAAGGTTCTGTAGGAAGTTCAATCAATGGCTTAATTTTTATTCAGTTCGAATGTGGTTCCAGGAAAAACAATTAAGAGATAAGAGCTGAACAATATGGGTAATGAATCACTTTATGATAGCTCTATGCCCATACCGTTCAATCCAATGACGCTTCCGTTCGGAAAAATATCGAATACCATGCACTGACGTATCGGTACAAAACTCATTAGCCATCGTTGATAGTATCTAGTTTTTTCAAAGTTTAAAGAGTAAGCGGGGGAAAAAAAGGTTATTTTGAGATTATGGCTAGTTGCAGCTCCTCCCATAAAGTTAGTTACGTATACGTTTTGAATGAAAATCAAAATGGTAGTTACATGAATTTTAGTTTCCATTTTCTTCTTCTCATCTGAAGAACATTCTTCGTCTAATATTCCGTTCATATCCACTGAAGTGGTGTCCATTATTTGCATGTCATTCTTTTTCCTAAAAAAGATGATTTTTACAAAATTGTCTTTAAAAACTATTCAATTGGAAAAAATCTCTCTCGTAAAAATGTTCCTACGTTTGTATCGGTATCGACCATGCTTGTTGCGGTAGCTGAATTTCCTCTCTCATGTACATCATCACCTTCACCTTTGGACTTAGAAATAATTGAAAACACCATAAAGTCATACCATTATGTGCAGAAACTTTTTATTTCCATACCAAATCAAATCAAGTTAAGTGCATCATGTCATTACGCTTTTTAATTGGTTATTTTACTCATATCTTTTCTATCGGTGTAATTGTAAATTCATTTGATTCAAATCAGTGAAAAACAAATAAGCTGGTTAATTAGCCGCATAAGTGTATACTGGCTAACGAATGTATAGACCAACTGGGTGTCTTTAGTTGAAAGTAACTAAACACACTCATCTGAACTAACGTTTGTGACTGAGATTCAACTCAGAGTTTACATAAAACCATGGGCGTGACATGCAGCCACATGGGTACAGCGCCCGTGTACTTCGTAGTGGAAAAAAAGTGAAGCTTGCTTGTCACCAATATTGATGTTCACGAACATCAAATTGTTTATGCGTTATTTCGCCCACTTTATGCACTGGAAATAAAAAGTTCTTCAATTTCTAGCAAATTTCACATATGAATTCATAAACACATCGAGAAAACACAACTATTTTTTCACATAAAAAGCATAAGCAAGATGATTTTTTCGTTGATGGTTGTTCGATCCTGGATCGTTTGTGATTCATCAACGATTTGCAACACATCCATTTTTGATTTCGATATTCCAACTGAATACGATGTTTTGTATTCATTAAACAATTCCATTTTGATCACAAAATAATTTTTTATTGAAATGGCTGTGACGAAAAACCACGCGAACGATTGCAAACGATAGCACAAACATTAATGTCTAGGAACATCAAATTCGAATTGACATTATTGTCAAAGCGAATTCATCGGGAAACACTGACTTGAAGTTCGACACAAATGTCAAATTAATTCGCCGATGTGAAGCAACAAAACAAAATAAATAAAAATACAAGCAAACAAACATTTTGTGTTGATCTAATCTGCAAGTTTTATATTTTTCCAGAATAAAAACGGTAATTTTTTTGTATTTTATTGTTTCATTCCAAATAAAATCTCTATTGTGATTTTTAAGTATACATTTATAAAAGATATCTTCAAAAATCAACTTTGAATGTAATATAATTTGTTATTGGCGACAAACAATTAATCGAACGCATTTAATCGAACATAAAATAATTTTCAGCCTGCCGGTTTGCTGATGTTCCCCGAATCGACCGACGAAGTGCCCAGTGCCCACCACCGATGTCGAAGAAGACAAACTAATTTTCGTGATAATTTAAATTTTGCCATTCAACATTCCAATAAGGGCAAACGCAGTGTAATCGAAAAACATTTGGAAGGCATCAAGCATTGGGGCCTAAATCGACATGACAAAATCAATCAACCGTCCCATTGTATTGCGAAATCGACGCCAAAGGAAGAAATTGAATGATAAAATCATTAATCTTCCGTATTTGATGTTCCTAGACATTAATGTTTGTGCTATCGTTTGCAATCGTTCGCGTGGTTTTTCGTCATAGCCATTTTAATAAAAAATTATTTTGTGATCAAAATGGAATTGTTTAATGAATACAAAACATCGTATTCAGTTGGAATATCGAAATCAAAAATGGATGTGTTGCAAATCATTAATGAATCACAAACGATCCAGGATCGAACAACCATCAACGAAAAAATCATCTTGCTTTTGCTTTTTATGTGAAAAAAAGTTGTGTTTTCTCGATGTGTTTATGAATTCATATGTGAAATTTGCTAGAAATTGAAGAACTTTTCATTTCCAGTTCATAAAATGGGCGAAATAACGCATAAACAATTTGATGTTCGTGAACATCAATATTGGTGACAAGCAAGCTTCACTTTTTTTCCACTACGAAGTACACGGGCGCTGCTTGTACGAAATTCCGTTTGTATGAAGCATGTCACGCCGATGCATAAAACCAAACATCGATATTTTTTTTTTATTAAGATGTTTTTTTGAAAAATAATAGGTAATAATTCAAATTATAAAAATGACTTTTATGAAGTATATTAATTTGTATGATTTGAATCAGAATACTCAAATCAAAAATTATTGTACATTGAATGTACTCATTTCACACAGATAGCTGGCTAACGATTGGCTTACACCAGTTGTTGGTGTAAACCAAGGCTAAGATAATGCTGGCTAACGAAAAACCGTCACTGATTCAAATCAACCTTATGAGATAAAATGGATGGCTAGTTACGCGATTTTGCTTCATCTATAGATTATAACACTTTTAATAAATGAAAAAGAGAAATTACTCGAAAACGATAATAAAATTCATTTTCGTAATTGTTGATTGACTTTGAGACAATGGTTGCATCTGACCCAAGTTCCATCATTCTTCCTTCGATTTTATTTCTTTGTTTCATTGTGCAGAATAATCGAAGGGTAAAGTAGTAAATCGATTCGACGATGCTCAACACGGAAATGCTCATGAATAATCCCAAAAATCCACCACAGCTTGCAATGGTGTTTCATTCAAATGTACAGTGTACGTCATACACTGTTTATTATACGTTATTATATTATTTTCAAACGTTGAATTTGAATATGCACAATTCTTTCCATCGGAATTGCAAATTTGGTTCAACCAAATGTTCAAAGTTATTTGAATGCTGAATTTATTTCTCTTGCGAATGTGTTATGTCATGATCTTAAAAGCTGATCTCCTGTTAATGATTCTTACGATTCTGAAAAGAAGAAATATGGCAAAAACCTTGAAATATGAAACGTTTTGAAACTAAAATACGATCCCAAAATTGTACGTGAGTTAAAATGTTGAATGATTCCAATAGAAATTAATATCAAGCCGTCCATGTTGTTATCGAAGTAAATTTTTGCATAATTTTATCAAATTTAAAATTCATATGACGCACTCAACCATGCGCCAAGTATGGTAATGCTTCTATCGAATAATATTTATTCAATTGCTTTCGTTTACTTTGAATATGATTGACGTGTATTAATTTTGTTTTTTCCATCCTATAAAATCGGCGCATTCAACTAGTGTCATTCCATACCGAATTAAAAGTTCAAGATGAAAGCTACAGGAGTTCTTTTGATCGTTTGCTTTGTGAGTGATAATTTTGAACGAATTTTCGTTGATACTTTCTCATCAATCCAGAAAAGTTGATAAATATTTACTCTCTATTAGGCGTTGGTTTTGCACGATGCCAGCGGTGCACCTAATGCGGTTAAAGTGATGTAAGTAATTCAAAGCGAAATTTTTTTCCCCAAATTTAACTGTCAAAATTTTCGTATAGGAACAATAAGCCCGTCCCACCACTCCATGCGTAAGTACAGGCCGCGTAAATTATAAAATATGAGAAACCTGCGAACGGAGAGTATGAATGAATTATTTTTTTCGACTTCAAATAGCACACTTCAACCAATATTAAAACATATGAAAAAAAAGCCAGGGTAAGTTTCCGAATCATTGAAATTCACAAAAGTTAGGTTTTAAGCCATTCTGGTGATTTTATATAGAAATCATTGATAAATAATTTCAGCGCATTGGTTTGGTGTAAAAATTTAAATGCAGCTGCTTTACAACCAATGGTAGGATTCTAAACAACGTCCAAAAATATTCACAAATTTTTATGTGAAATGTGAAAATTTTATGAATGAATGCCATTGTTTTTAATTTTCGATTGGGATTTTCAGCAAAATCACAATGTGACTTCACGAAACAATAGATTCATTCAACGTTGTTTAGAATCCCGCCACAGGACGTTGTTAAGAATCCCGGCACAGTATCAGTTGGTTTTTCTTTCCCAAATTCATTCTAATGCCGATGTAACTTATTGCTGTAAATGTTGCTTCCCTTTTACTTCACAAATAGATTAGCTTCCATGAAGCTTGTTCTGAAAGTGAAATAGGCACGTTTTAAATCAAATTACTAGTTCAAACCGTGATTTTCCATATTCAAATTGTGACTTTCTTGGGACAAATTACTTTTTTTTCCACGGAAAAGCATGAAAAACGTTTTACTCGACAGACAAAAGCCACCCATGCCCATTTCTCCGGTCTTATCCAGCGCTAGCCCAGTAAATCCCTTATATATAGGCATGGGCTATCCATATTCATCAGATTTGTCAACATCAACCAACTCATTCGATGGAGATGATATAAAGAGGAAAGTCTCCCCACCACACAACTCTATTCCAAAGTCGCCAGTTCCACCAGTACCGACTGTAACTCAAGAAAGTCAGGTAAATCTGTGAATGATTTGACTACGATTGACTTAACTTGAATAAGTTAGAGTGAGTTCGATTTTAAAGTTGAACAATTTCACGAAGGGAGCTGACCATTCTGCATCTAAAAAATCACCAGTACAACGAAAGACATTAGACGCATCACAAGCGCATGCAACAAAACCAGCCAGTGGAGATGCTCCAATGATGAAAACCTCCTCACCAAACAACTCATCTCAACAACGAAATCAAGCGCTAGAAACAGTAAAGCAAACGATTCATTCATTTTATTGAACATATTATTTGCATGATAATATTGAATATCTAACATGTTCTCCAATGAAAAATCAACAGCCACAACAATCTACTGGAAGTGGTGCAACAGGTACGACAGCTCCTTCAACAACTGTAACCAATTCTGCTAAGCCACATACAGCTGGTTCATCAGATTTAACGGCTGGAATGCCTGACGCATCTATAGTTCCGGAGCCTACATCTGAACCGCATCACAATCATTCAAGCCCAATGTCTTTTGTAAGAAGCCAAGTCGAAGCAATTAACAATCGCATAAAGAATAACGGTGAGGTGGCTCCAAGCAATCTACATTCAAACAAACCATATGCCAAACCAGTTATGATGAATCCAGCTTTTGGAAACGTGAAAGCAAAAGCAAGAAAAGCCTGAACAACAATCCACCTCAAAGAAGAAGCACTTTTTAATTGAAAATCTAAAAGGGTAGTTGACATTTCAATGTTTACCAGATTTTATATTTATTTATCAAGCATAAATTTTAAACGATACAGCATGAGTATAAACTTTGTGGCTCGCATCAAATAAAGACAGAAAAATATTTGTTTTATTGATAGATACCCGTGTGAAAATATTCTGACTGAGCAACCAATCGATTATTTTGATACATAGTCGACCGGCTAAAAGTGATTATTCACTAAAAGAACAATGCTCATAGTTAGCTTCAAACACAAGCTGACTGCAGTCAAAAATGTCCCAAATTAAGCGACTGGCTAAAATTTCATCGTAGTCGACTATTTTTTAAACAAATCTCATGAATTTTACGTTTTTTGTTGGTAATAAAGGTGACGAGTGACGAAAGCACTCTATAGAGTTATTTAATTAATTAATTGCCTCTCCGAATATATTTTAGTTCAGATAAAATCAAGCATTTTTCGTTTCGAGTTATATCAAATATCAAATAATCAATATAAACATTTTTTAAAATCAATTCCCGTGCCGAAAGCTAACACAAAACCGGTGATATGCATTTTATCAATCAATTAAATTAGTTGGATAAATAAAAATGATTGATCTTGAAAAGTAATGACCAAACGTCGTTAGTTAGAGGGTAATACCACAAATTGATTGTACCAATTAGCTAAAATTCACATGAATGAATTAAAAAAACAAAACAAAACGTTAATAGCAAACTTGGAAAATGATCATTTTTGTAATTGCATTTTGAAGTCATTAAGTTACTTGCACGCACTATCTGTGCTCATTGGAGATAATACAACATTGATAGCCATGGAATAATTTGACGAATTTAAATTAAAATCGTTTCAATGGAACATTGACGCCACTAGGATTGTTTCGTTCTGCTCAAAGTGTATTTTGTTGTCTAAATTTGCAGCACAATCGAAGGGTGAAGTAGTAAATCAATTCGACGATGCTCAACACAGAAATGCCCATGAACAATCCCAACAATCCATCACAGCTTGCAATAAAATCGGCCATCGTATAGGTTTCGGTTCGATTGGTTGCAATGAAATGCGGCTGTTTAAACGACACCAACAATTGGCTCTTTGAGAATCGCAAGAGCCAGCTGAAAGAAACAAAATGAAAATTTTGATTATCGATTGGTAAAAATAGAATAAAAAAGACTTAGAATAAGTATGATTACGTGAGCTTGCGTTTTATCGTCCATTTTACCAAGATGATCTTCATTCAACACCCCATTCAAGTTAATTGAAATGGCTCTAACGATTCGTAGATTGTTCTTCTTCCTATGAGTAAAACGTTTTCAACGTTTCTGATTAGAAAAAAAGGAAATAAAATTACTTACTGTTCTGGTGCCCGATGCATGAAATTCATTTCAATTTTGTTTTATTTTAAGCTTTTAGAGGGTTTTGATTTGTTGACACTTTTTTTTGGTTTTCAGGAATGTTTTAAGCAAATTTGGACATTTTTCTACCCGTTTTTTCTTTTGTTAAAGGAAATTTCGACGATTTTTTAATATTCTCCTCCTTTTTTCTTCAAATTCACGCTTATGTGGAACTTCAACGATGCAAGCGATTGAATAAGCAATTTGGTTATAAAAATCGGATTTGAATATTGCTTTATCAAATACATCAACACAAGGTTCGCGATAGAATGGCGCCAAAACCATTAGTATGTGTCATGAAAAATTGAGTACATGCTCGTTATTACTATTAAAAATTGTAACATAATATTGCTTTTAAGTAATTTGGTCAGGTGTTGTGCACACAGTGATTGTGTGACCGATAACATTGATTTTTTTTTTATTTAAATAATTGACTTCAGTCCGATTTACCGACTATCAGTTTATATTGTTGCAGAAAAACGGGTTTTCTTTTCTTGTGAAATGTTTTTTTTTATGTCAACACCAAAATGAAAACTCTGGTCATTTTAAAAGCGCAAAGAAAGTGAGAAAAAGAATCTATCCAGAAACTGAGCAATGCTCAGTGAGCATCTTAGTTTGAAGTGTTCTATCATGTGCATAATGACCAATTTTACGATGCCTTACACTGATCTCGATGAAATTTTATCTTTTTAAACAATGTAAACCAATATCATATTCAAAATGTCATATAAATTAGTGAAATACATTAACATTTATTAGTAAGCAATTCAATGAGAGGTGTTTAAGTTTGATTAGTGCCACTAACACACTATTTTCAAATTGCACGATTGCAATCATCTTCTACACATAAAATATGCTGTGAAATCGGTGTGTCTAGTCCAAAGTAAAATCGATTCGTGTATAAGCAGAAGAAAAAGGCATCGTTAATTGGAGTTAAAATCGTCGTCTCTCAAGTTGTTTTTTCATTGCGGCAAAGTCGCCGCGTTTATTGTAAATCGAAAGCGTCGTTGGTAATGGCTTTTGTTGTCTCAATTTACAGCATAGTCTCAGAGTGAAGTAATAGATCAGTTCGATAACGCTTAGCAGTGAAATGCCCATAAACAGCCCAAACAATCCGCCACAGCTGGCAATAAAATCGGACATCGTATAGGATTCCGTTCGGTTGATTGAAATGAAGTGATGCTCTTTAAATACGACAAATAAACTGCTCGTCACCTGTTGGCTATGGATAAATGAATTGAATCAATAAACAATTCTAAATGAACCGCAACAATGAGCGTGCATCTCATACCTTGACTCGTTCAGTGCATTTTTCAGAGCAATGTCACTAGCCGAATAATATTTTTGAGCCTGCGAAATTTCCACGTCATACGTAATTGCTGTGCAATCGGGCAAACAATCGCAATTTTTCACCAGAAGATTTTTAGAAAATTCATCAGCCGCATTGATATAGCATTTATTGTCGACGATTGTGCACACCTTTGTCCCTTTGATTCCTGAAAATGATCAATCATTGACAATGAGGAAATTGACCATGGGTTTAGAAGAGTCATTTTCAATAATTCGAATCAAATATCAAATAAATGACTCGATATTAACACGTCGACCATTTACTTGGCATAAAAAATTGAACGCATCCGCACATCTTGTATGTAAAATTTGCCGCGCATTCGAATTCGCAATTACGTTGACCGTACCATTTGAAGAATCTCAATTGACGTTCGGATGAGAAAAAACAGCCGCGTTTATGCGGTTTATAACGTCTCAATCCATCAGATGTTGTAATTACATTCGGTCGAACCGAAACGTAGACTTGTTGTTCGATTGGTATGAACAAGAAGCCATCAGGTAATCGAGGTAAATCAGTTGGGTTATGCAATGAAACGCGGAATCCTGGTGCTAATCCGTTACAATATAATTGTGAATCGTCCAAATCGATGCCCATTAAAATTATCAGCGTGTCGCTAAAGCCGCAACTAAACACGCGATATGGATAAATGTCATCCTCTGTAACATTTGAATCGTAACCATTTTCCATGTTCCAACGCGTGGCATTTTTTGGGACTTCCACTGTCATCAATTCGGTGTCGACACTGATTGAATAACGATAACAAAACAATTAACGTTGCGTTTAAACAAACATTATTGTTGCACGAGAGAGAAATAATATTTTTCATATCACTTCATACTCATCTGTGAATATTTCCCGCGAATTGAGCGAATTGAAGGTATAGCAAAGGCCTTCACCGGTGAAAATTGGCCAAAGCCGCATCAATTGTCCCCGAAATGTCGAAAAAATAATTGTTGAATCATATCCAGGACATAAATTTTCAATGGTCGTATGAATCGATTCGGTTCGTGGTATGATGAGACCGTCGACCAAATTGCTCATTTCTTTGTCACAAACTTGTTGAATGGCATCCAGTCGGTGTATACTATGGTTAAATTGAGATTAAGTTCTTGATTGAGTAAGGACATTTTTAAATACAACTATTCTATTAAACGTTAGATAATCTTGAACGTTCAATAGAAAATGGGTTAAAGAGATTTTGAATCAATTTTTTTTTTTCCAAATTTAAAGTGACAAAGTTGAAAAACTTGTTCATACATTTCCGGTTTATAGCCTTTATAAGCTGATTTGTTGCTCTCCATTTCGATGAGTATATGTGTGAATAATTCCGTGTCAATTTTCTCTTTAATGAACTTGTTGGTCGGACAAATGGTAACTGCAGGAAATGGGATTATTGAAATTGGAGTCGATTTGTCGTCAAAACTTACAATAACCGGACGCCCTTCCCATTTCGACCAAATATTCCATATGGCATAGGTGCATAGAGTGGCCGATAGAACAATGGCAACAATCCACCATATTCTAACGAGGAGAAGTAGTGCCGTTTTCAATTTATTTATTTGAATAAATATCAATGCATATTTTTCTTAAATTTCCCAATCATAAGTTGCAAACATACGTTTTCGGATGGTTTAGCATCTCAGCATTTCGTATGCAGCGGATATATCCGAGCATATCGACGATGAAGGTCACTGTATAAATGGTGTGCATCGATGTGCACAGCTACATCGACTTCACACAAACTTTGTGCACTCTGTTTGTACGTAATCGATGTAGCTGTGCGCATCATGACACGCCATTTATACAGTGACTTGCGTCGTCGATATGCTCGGATATATCCGCTGCATACGAAATGTTGAGATGTTAAACCATCCGATAACGTATGTTTGATAAGTTTTACCTTTCAATCCAATGACGTTTCGGTTCCGTGAAATATCGAACTCCATGCACTGTCGAATTCGAACAAAATTCTTTGAGAATCGCAAGACCCAACTAAATAAAATAGAAGGATACGATCCATGTAAATGAATTCAACGCAAATTAAACATTATTTCAAAGCTTCAATCGAACACTTTTTGAACTCAAATTCGGGATCAAAATGTTATGGAAATTTTGGGATTCAACTGAAAGTTTGGCAAATTAATGAATCTCAAAAATTCGAACACAAATTTCTTGAATGTGGCTAAATAAATACATAAATAAATGTTTTTACAAATCAATCGACCGTAATAATGAATATCAAAATCAATTTACAATTGAATTAGATACTTACTTGAGATCGCGTTTTATCGTCCATTTTACCAAGATGATTTTCATCCAATACACCACTCATGTCTATTGAAATGGCTCCAACGATGCGTAAATCGCTCTTTTTCCTATGAGTAAAACATTTTCAACGTTTCTGATCGAAATTTTAACAAAGGAAATGAAAATGCTTACTGCTTAGGTGGACGATGCATGAAATTCATTTTTTTTTAAATGGACTTTGACTTGTTAACTCGTTGACCCTTTTTTTTCTCCAGTTTTCAGACACGTTTTTTTTTTCTTGTATTAAAGGAAATTTCGACGATTTTTTAATATTCTCCTCCTTTTTTCTTCAAATTCACGCTTATGTGGAAATTATCATCCGATCTTCAGCGATGCGACCGATTGAATAAACAATTTGGTTGTGAAAATTGTTTTTTTTTAATGTGGCTTTATCAATTACATAAACTCAAGGTTCACAATAGAGTGGCGCCAACATCATTAATACAATCACCATAGGTCACGGGAAATTTGATGCATGCTCATTATTTCGTAGAAATTGTGATATAATATTGCTTTTACATAATTTCGCTAAGTGTGGTGCACAACGGTATCAATGACAATCAATCTACATGCATGTTGGATTATTGTTTCTCGGTACACATTTAAATTCAAATTGATTTCACTTTAATTTAATCCATATTTTGTTGTGTCGCAGGAAATTTGCTTGCATGGATTGTTTTGTTTTGTTTTTGAAATTATTTTTTAGTGCGAAAGGGACAATCGATCATATTGTTCTATCGTTTACCTTCTGTATTACGCATCACTGTAGATGACACAGAGAGCGACAGATGCCGGAATATATCATGCATGCGGACACTGCATTTGTGTTTGTGTTTATGTTTGTGTATCTCTGTGTGGGAAACAACGTGAAATCGGTGTAGTTGTTGATGTTTACTAGAATGAAACACGGATCGAAGCACTAGAGCGACATCTGACAAGATTATTCCCATTGGGAAGAAATGAGTCGAATTTTAGGTGAAGTTTTTTAAAAACTTTTGTTGTTTTGAATTCCGTGTAAAACGGTGTGAAAAACCGATTTTGTCCATAAATTATAAAAAAAAACTATTTTATACATTGAATCGATTTTAAATTCTGTCCAATAGCTTATGCAAATCGATTCTTTTTCATTTTTCTTATCTTCATCTGTTTGAATTTAAAATCGTTTTCGTTGAAGAGCTGGAAATGTTCTGCGCTTTGCCCAGACGCACTTTTCGATCGATTCTTGTTGTTGAAGTAAACAAAATAAGCGCAACGTGAAAAAATAGACCAGCTCGACAATGCTTAGCACCGAAATGCCCATAAACAATCCCAATAGTCCTCCACAGCTCGCTATAAAATCCGACATCGTATAGGTTTCGGACCGATTGAGCGCAAAGAAATGTTGATCTTTGAATGATATGAATAATTTGCTGCTGGCGTAAAAACTACTCAAAATGGAAGGAAAAGTTACGAGTTAATTGAACCTAATGTAAATCAATTTAATTGAAAATGAATATTAAACCACAGACGATGTCATTGAACATCACAACAAAAACGGAAGGCTGAATTGACCGTTCAGTGTCAGCTCCAGTGTGCAGTGAAATCGCAATGCATCAACTATCATATTAGTGAATAATTTTACACACCCTGTTTCATTGGACCAGTTTCCCACTTCTTTGAAAGTTCTCTTCGAAAAATCGGAAGGACCCTGTGAAATTTCCACATCATAAGAAATCGAAGCACAGTCTGGCAAACAATTGCAGTTGTTAAAGAGGAAATTCTTTGAGAATTCATCGCTAGCATTCACATAACATTGGATATCGACCAATGTGCAGATTTTTGTATGTTTGTCTCCTGAAAAATGATAAAATTTTGTCATTTGATCGAACATTTGTTTCAATTTTGGAAAATGATTTGTGTTTTAAACAAAATTTTGTTTTGTCCAAATAAATGAATGAAGAATAAATAAAGGATAAATGGCTTACTCGGCATTGAGAACTTCACGCAACCACATTCGGCTTTTGTGGCGTTCGCAAGGCACTCCAGCTCGCAATTTTGTTGATGGTACCATTTGAAGAATCGAAGTTGTCGCTCCGCTTTGAAGAAGCAATTTCTGACATCCGACGAGTATCCATGCAAACCTTTTGATGTGGTCACCATGTTCGGTTTTACCGAAATATAAACATCGTAATCAATCGGAACAAAAATAAAGTCATCAGGTAATTTTGGAATTTCTTCGGGACGGTGAAGATTAATTCGAAATCCAGGTGCTAATTCGCTGCAAAATTGATTTGATTCATCCACAAAAATTCCCAACAACACATTCAAAATGTCACGTGAACTTGCGCCAAATACACGATACGGATACGGATGCGATTCAATTTCGCTTATATTGAATACGGATCCATCTTGGATGTTTAAATATGTGGTGTTTGGATTATCTTCAATTGTAATAAACTCATCGGCAATCCTTCGATTTGAAAAGATAACGAATGAACAGTAAATAGAACGAATAGAATGTTGCACAAAGTCATATTCCATAATGAAAAATTAAAGATCAAAATCTTCTTAAGTGAATCAATAATAAAAAGCTCATACTCATCGGTGTAAATATCGCGTGAGTTTAGCGCATTGAATGTGAAGCAGAGTCCTTCGCCAGTGAAAATTGGCTGGAAGCGTTCAAATTTTCTCAGAAAACTGGCAAACAAGACAACTGAATCAAGATCAGGGCCAATATCTTTGATGGTTTTGTAAATGGATTCTGCCCTTAGAATTTTCGGACCATTCACGAAACGAGGTGTTTCCAAGGAACAAATGTTTAAGATTGTGTCTAACTGGTCAAACCTAAGAGTTTAACAAAAATTATTGCGATTTTGAATCAATTTTTCATTCATCTCTTACATGGTATGCGACAAATTAGATAGGGAAATTTCGTTCATATGTAGCTTCTCCAGTGCTTTGCTGAATTCTTCGCTATCTATTGCCTCTTTGGTGAATTTTTTAGTGGAACAAATGGTTACTGAAGGAAAAGGAATCATTCCGATACTTGTGGTCCGATCGTCGAAACTCACGATAACCGGACGTTGTTGCCATTTCGTCCAAATGTTGAAAATCGCATAAGAGCAGAAAGAAAACGATAGAATGACGGCAATTATCCACCACACCCTGACAAAATGCCATCCGTTTTTTTTTTTTTTGAGTCAGCATTTAATTGGGGGAAAAATAAAGAAAAAACAACAGAGGAAAAAGGTTTTAGTATCTACTTGAATGAATAGAAGTTAAAATTAGTTTCATGGAGAGAATATATCTCTAACGAAAAACGCTTATTTTTGGTTCCAAACGAAACCACAAAAACGGTCATGCAGTCGAATTATTCTCGGCAACTGTGCAGTGTGCACAAACCATCTACTCATTTTCAGTTTCGTTGCATGGATTGTACGCTTAACCCTAGAACCATGGTTGGTCATTTCAACTTAATCCCATGGTTTGGGGCATTCTGTGCCCTACGTGTATTTTGTATGAAAAGTTCATTTTTTCGCAAAAAAAACATCATATTTTTTCAAATATTTCAAAATCTACCGTTCTGATTTTGTCAGCACAGGTATATTTGTGTTCAGTGAGGCTGTATTCATATTTCCTGTGCCTTGCTGACAAAATTTGAGGATATTCGTTTAATGAAAAAAATTGCCAAAATGATGGATTTCTGTTTGGGCAATGAGGCAAATTAAGTGACACGCACAAGAATAGCGCCATCT